TGTACATTATACTATCTATTTAGTCCTATACCTGCATCTGCAAGCATTTAAATTTGTTTTTTTTTTTATCTAAACAGCCATGTCCTACCAAGGCAGGGTGACACAAATTAGAAAATATATTTATCATCATTCATTCTAGTGCTGTCTTTCTAGAAGTGCGCTGACATCACAATTCAGATTACCATACAACTGCAATATCCCCATCCTTCCTTCAGAGTGCAGGCACACTCCTTTCAGCCTCCAGAACTGAAGTCTGGCTAACTGGTTTCCCTGAAGCCCTTCATAACAATTACCTCACTCAGACTCCAACATCATGTCCATTAACTCTTAAACTGTCCAAAGGTAGATCTACGTTTTTTCAGCATTTAAAAGTATGTAAAAAACGTAGATCTTCTTTTTTTTACATTTGGAAACGTGTAAAAAAACTTTGATCTTTTTTTTTTATTTGAAAATATATAAAAAAACGTAGATCTACTTTTGGCGCACTACACATGCGAACGTAAATTTGCTTGGACAGTTTAAGGGTTAAAAAACACTTCCATTCACTTCAGTATAACACACAAGCATGTTAGATGCTCAAGCCCCTTAATCTCAAAGCCTCTCTTACCCCCTCCCTCAAACCATTTCTGGAATGATCGCCAACCTCCTCCCCCTCTAACCTTCCTTCCCAGATTTATAGATTTGAAGTCTAGCTGCCATTCATTTTACTTAATCTGCTTATTTTTCTTTATGTACTATCCATGGATTAATACCTGCCAACATCGGCTACATTCTCACCCCTGACCAACATTTCTAATAACTTCATTTTTCTATTTATAGTTATATAAAATATGATTTCTTTTCCCCCAAAATATGTTACATCTTATATGGCCCATGTCAAAAAATATTTCTAAGAAGATTGATGAAATATACCCTTGAAACTATATTATTATGTTAATGAGGAAAAATGTTGCAGAGACACGGGAAAATGGGAGAAGGGATTGTGGGTAATCAGGTTTGAGCCAAGGGAAGGGTTGCTCCAATTTAAAAACATGACAGCAAAGTCTGACTTTTTTTTTTTTTTTTTTTAATGTGTCGGCACATTTCCCATCAAGGTAGGGTGACCCAAAAGAAAGAAAAACCAAAAAAGAAAGAAAAGAACTTTCATTATCAGTATTAATGGTATGATGACCTGAGAGTTGTATGAATCCAGTACTGTAGTTGTTGGTTTACAGATTATATGGCCAAGGTGCTATTGTGTGGCTCAGTGAGCAATAAATCAAACCCTGTATTCAATGACCTACTGTTTTTTTTTTTTTTTTATGTCATATGTAGGCACTTTTTTCAGTTATTTACAAAATTTTAAACAGATAGTGTGTGTTGTATGCGAGTCGCCTTGTCACATGCTGTAGCTTGCCTCGACACTACAAACCTTCATAATATGCCATCAAACACTACATGCCATTACACTTCACAATATGCCACTATTTTGTACAACCCTTCTTAACACACTACCTCCACAATCCTCCACAACATGCCAATACATTGTATAACCTTGCATTATACCTCCACAAGCTACCATACTACATCCCCCTTCCCCACAATGTGCTGCTAAATACTACAGCTCTCACCACACACTACTACAATTCTCCACACTACATGCCACCACACTACAATCATCCACAAGATTCCACTAGCCATGAGTTCAATCCCCGCCTGTACTGTAGTTTTTCTTTATTCCACAATACTTGATAACCCTCCACAACATGCCTCTACATTACAACCATCCACACCATGCACCCATACTCTACAGCCTTTCACATGCTACCACACACTACAGTCCTCCACAACAGGCAGTAGGGTCCCATGAAATTCATTTACGGTAAGATTTGAGCAGTTTAGCAGACTATCTGATTCATATTGTCTCTGGCCTTCTTTGTAATTAGTAAATAGTAAAGGGAAATTTTTAGTAAAAATTACCCTAGTTAAAAAATCTGTGTACATAATTCCTCTATATAATAATAGACTGTATGAACACTCCACCAGACATGGATTTAAAAACTGCAAATGAAAACTTGGTGACCAGATTTGATGGCATTTTGGTGTTTGAGGGACAGAAAGGGCCAGGATTATGTTACTTAGAACATTAGGAACTTAGAGAAAACTTACTATGGGTTAAGTTTTAGAAGGCTTCATCTCAGCTGTGAAAAATTTCTTTGGGGTTACTCTTCTAGTATAGGAACAGAAATCCCATATTGAGTACTGGCATTTAATTTCTTTGCATAAAGACTGAACACCCACTGCAGAAATGACTAGACCTAAAAATTGTAATGCCATCTACTTTTTCCTCCAGCCTCAAACAATCATAAAACCTCATATTATTATTTTTAACACTGAGGTAGGGCATACCCCTCCCCCCATAAAATGAAATACAGTAAGTAATTTATTCAATTACTGTCTTGCAAGAAGTATGCAGACATTACAATTCAACTGACCTTGTGAACTGTGATATCTTTCACCCCTCTGAATACAGACATTGTATTTCCCATCCCCAGGACTCGAGTCTGGCTAATGTATCCCTTCATAAATTTGATCCTACTTACACTCCAACAGCACATCAAGACACTATATTAATGTGCTTCTTCCTGTAGTCTTTGTACCCCTGCATTCCTTTTCACTCAGTGACCTCTTGGAACTTATTTAAGATGGAGTATAATATAAACTTAGCATTATATCTGTATAAGATGAAGCAACAATGAACTTCTAGTGTTTTACAATGTCCTCTATCAGTTTCACAGCTAATGCTGAAAGTAAAGAGGCAAATGCGGGCGAGAGGCAAATGTCACTTACAGCCAGTGAACAACATAACTTGAAGCATTTGATATGTACCTACCTGCTACCTGGAGCAGGTAGCAGGTAGGTACATTTGCTACAAGTTTGTTCCCTAATATCTTGCCATTATTAAGTTAACTGATCTTTGTTTAAAATTTTCCTTAGAGATGTAGAATTCAGAAACTTAGTAATTTTAAAATTTTCTTAAAATTTGAAAATTTTTAGATGCTCATATAATTAACAGTTTGTAAATTCAAAATGTTTTTAATATTAATTTAATAATAAATTGGGTGACTTGGAACATCATTATTCATTAAGTTATTGAAAATATTTTATTTTTGACAAGTGCATCTCACTTTGTGATTTTTAAAGCTACTTTCAACATTTTACATTAAAAATTTAAATTAATTAACCCTTAAATAGTCCAAACGTATATATACGTTTTTTCAACATTTGAAAGTATGTAAAAAAATGTAGATCTTCTTTTTTGTTTTTCACTTGAAAATGTGTAAAAAAAACTTTTATCTACATTTGTTTTTTTGTTATGTTCGAAAATATGTAAAAAAAACGTTGATCTACTTTTGGAGCACCACGGATTTGAACGTCGATCTGTTTGGACCGTTTAAGGGTTAATAGCTAATTCCATATTTAAATAAGCGTAGTTGTTAGGGTTTTAAAGCTGACAGTAACTTATCACAAAAATGTAAGAGATTTATTGTATATTCAATTTTTCTGTAGGTTTTCGTTAAATCTCCTGGCAGTGCTTACATTGAATGACTATCTGTCTGTGGACACAAATATCTAGGACTCGTAATATGCTGTATTAGGGTTTTGTAACCTCTTGTAACAATTTATGACATAAAAGACTTTAATTTATCATTGCAAAGCTTTTCAACTACAGTATTACTACCAGTGTAATATTAGCCCTTTTTGGCAGATTTGGTAGCTTTATATGTTCAGTTTATATGATAAATATACCTAAAGTTGCTGTGTTGGGGTTAACACTTGAGTAATTGATTTTAAAGTTTTTTTTTTTTTTTCAAATTGCAATTTTTTTAAAGGCCTTGATTAAAATTGTGCATCGTGAGATATACTGTGGAAGAGAAGGGAGATGCCTCAGTTGCTTATATGCAATCATTTCAACATCTAGTTAAATCTGTCATGTGGAGTGAAGTATTTTTGCAAATTTGCTTTTTATAATAAATATTATATGCTTTTGATATACTGTACTATATTCACTAGATAATGGACTGTCTTTCTCTCTTTTTCACACACTGCTGCCATTCAGGTCTGCTTCATGTTCCTATCTTTCTTAAGTGCCTCCATCTTTCTGTTGAAAATTTGTGCAAGAAATAATAAAAACAGCACAGGTCTGAATTTTCTGCATTTGATGCTTTCAAATTAAAGCTCGCTCTTAAGTTGCAGTAATCTTGTGCTGGTATATCCATTTTGCTATGTTTTAAGTACGTACTGCCTTACTGCTCATGCCCCATGTAGTCAAATAGGTACACATAACTGGGTCATTATTTTTTTACTGTCAGTTTACCTTTTTTGTATAAAAGTATTTTCTTTATTAAATAGTGGAAATTTGTACCAGTTGAGATATGGTTACTATTGTAGGTTAATGAGAAACTCAGATTCCTCTTGTTCAAATCACCTTTCCAGCCCCATGTGAACTTTCAACAGTAGTGGTAGAAAAGCCACCACATGTTGCGAAGCCCTCGATCATGGGTGCAGCCAAGGGCCTCTTCACTAATATTCAGTATGCTAAAGTGTAGGCAAGGAAGGTGAGAGTAGAAGTAGAGCTGCTTCACTCTTGCTGTTTAAATGTGCTGTGGTAGCAGTCATGTCTTAGTCATATTTGGTAATTTGTGTCTTAACTTGTTACAAAAATTATTTCTGATATTTTTTGAAGTGAATAAATGTAATGTCCAGCACGGTAGAGTATAGTTATTAATGGGTGTTTTTACTTATATCTTTGTTCTTTTAAATCATTGTGAGGATTTAACCACTAAACCATAAATGCTTAAGACTTTTTTAACTTAAAATTTGAGTGGTTACTGACAATCTTGGCTGACTTTTTTCCCATGAAATGTGAAACAGAAAAATCAACTAGTTTTCTTGAATTTTAATGAAATAATGTAAATCAGTGCAGTGCACCTACCTTATAACAGTCTTATAAATTACAGGTAGTGATCTGCTGAGTGCCATCACTGCCACATTCGAGGAGAAGATGCGGAGCCTCCAAGAGTCTCCTTTGGGCCTAGTGAATGCAGTGACTGATGCCATCAGCAGCCCTGACTTTTACCCAGTAGCAGGTCAGCCAAATGACCATACCACGAGAGGAAACACAGAGTGTCGTTTATACCGTGATCCTTCCCTTCACCGCCGCCGCACCAATCCCCGTAATCCATCTACCAACACCAGTACAACCTCAACCTCCACTGCTTCCAGTGCAGCTCTCACCTCAACCATTTCCCAGGTATATTTAATATCCTGTTCCTTTTTTCCTCTTTGTTCTTTTTCCATAAACTTTACCTTTAAGCTTGTTTATTATAAATTCATCCATGATTTAACATTGTTTTTATCTACAGGTAGAGGCTGCCAGTCAGGCTGTCAAGTTCTTAGAAAATGATAAGTTACTGAGTGAAGATGTAAAACATGAAGTAAAAGTAAAGAGGTCAGATTCCTTGACTAAATCAGAGAAAACTGAAAATAACTTAAAAGAAAAAACTGAAAAAAGGGCTCGTGAATTAAAGCGCACTGACACTCAAGAAAGCCTTAGTGAAAAAAAACCTAAAGAAATGAAAAGGTCTGATAATCAGGATGGTACAGAAAGGTCACGAGATTTATCTAAGAAATTAGAGGTAAAGGATAATTCAGTTGGATCTGCTAGGCGCACTTCTGAAGTGAGAAGCAGAAGACACAATGTCAAAGAATTAAAAGAAAAATTCGAACAAAATACAAGCAATCAAACTAGTACCAGTCCCATGAAACCATCCAATATGTATAGTAATGTAAATAATAATAGTAATAAGACAAACAAATCAAGTATGCGGCGAACAGGGTATCGTGGACACATTAAGAGACGACACACTGTGGGTGGTACGAAGGACCTTGCAAAGTGGGCGTGGTTGCAGAGTGCTGAGGCATCTAGAAATGCTTCATGTGCCATCCGTCTCTCGGCATGGGAACGCTTGCAACCCTTAGTGGCAGATGAGAGACTAAACACTGACAGGACATTAGAAGCATGGTTAGCCCATGAACGCATAAGAACATCTTCACCTGACCTATCAAGACCTCAGCAGTTGGTATTCTCCTGTGACTTAGACGACAAAGAAAATCTTCACCGTCGTCTCAGTGTACAAGAAGCAATGTTGAATCCTCTCTATCCTGTACTAGAAAGTCATGTGTAATGGAGTATGGATTAGGCCATCATCAGTATCCATGTTACTAAGCTCATTGCCTCCATTACCTACCATGTGTTTTCAAAGGTACTGTACAATCTTTATATGAACAGTGTTAAGACTGTTACAAACATTGAAAGTGTTGGGATTTTGAGAAGGGTAATGAACAGTGCTGTGATTTTTGTCTTTTTAAGTGTTGTTTCAGAAGCATATCATAGTATGTATGTATGTAGATTATATATGTGTGTGAGATACATATATATAATATATATACATAATATATATAATTTTTTTAACTCAATAGCCATCTCCCACCAAAGCAGGGTGACCCAGAGAAGAAAACTCGTTCACTCAATTGCCATCTTTCCAGAAGTGTGGTGTCATTACAGTTAGCTACCCCTCCCTTCAGAGTACAGGCACTATCCTTCCCTCCTCCAGAACTCAAGTTCATCTAACTGGTTTCCCCTGAATCCCTGAATAAAAGTTACCCTGTTCACACTCCAACAGCAGGTTCATTAAAAAAACACTTGCCTCCAGTTATTCTATCTAACATGCTCTCACAAGCCCCTAAACCTTGTGTCTCCTCCCTCCCAGATTTATACACCTTCTTCATCAACCTATCCTACATGCCCAAACCACCTCAGTAACTCAGCTTTGAATTATACCCTATTTGTCTTTTAATTTCTACACTCCGAATTCTCTGAATGATATTCACATCACCCATTACTCTCATACATAACATCTCCATGATCTCTAGTCTTGTTTTTGCTGAAGCATTCAAAACCTGTGCCTCACACCCATATAGAAGTGTTGGTACTGCTATACCTTGGTACATTTCCCTTTTGCCATCCTTTTGCCTGGCCCATGGCCGGGCTCAGAGAGTAGATAAACTCTTGAAACTCTTCAAAGGTAAGGGTATTGATAAACTTCTTTCATTCCACAGATACTTTAACACACCACCCACCTTTTTCTTCCCTCTTATTTTGTTTTGCCTTATCTTTCAGAGACCCATCTGCTGATATGTCCACTCCCAAATATCTAAATACATGTATATCCATTTCTTCTATACTCCAATCTAATAGTGCCTAGACTTTTGGTTACCCTCATCACCTTGCTTTTTTCTATGTTCACTTCTTATTATCTCAGTTGGCATACCCTCACATTCATCCACCAACCTTTGTAATTTGCCTTCAGAATCCCCTGAAAGAATTGCTATCAACAAAGAGTAGCTGGGAATACTCCTACTCTGTATCAGATCCAACATTTTTTAGTCCAACACACGTTCCCAACACACTAGCATTTACTTCTTTCACATCCCCATCTATAAATGTGTTAACCATGGTGATATGTATTTCTAAAGTCCTACTTTCACTGGGAAATAGTCCCCCCTCCTATATATTCTAATCTGAGCCTCACTCTGCATAAAAACTAACTGCTCTTAGTAACCTTTCTCCTATTCCATACATTTGCAACACCTTCCATTTATTCATCTTATCAAGTGCCTTTTCTAAATCCACAAATTCAATAAACAGCTTGTTATCTAAGTACTGCTCACTACATGCTTCATTGTAAACACATGGTCTACACATCCCTTGCTTTTCCTTTTTCCCTTATACAGTAATACCTCAGTTTTCGTCCTTAATCCATTCCAGAAGGTCGTCCGAAATCTGAAATGGACGAAAACCGAAGTAATATTTCCTATAAGAAAAAATGTAAATCCAATTAATCCGTTCCAGACACCCAAAAATATTAACAAAAAATACATTTTATAGAGAATAACTATAGTTTTACATAAAGAAAACAATGAGAAATAAATATAAAACACTAATTTTAATGGATAAATGAACGTTTAAATCAGTTTTACCTTTATTGAAGACTCTTGGCATATTCTTTACGAGATCCGCATGCAACTGCCTTTTTGCCTTTTTACAAACTATCACCTCCACAACACTGTCTCCCACTAACTGTTTTTCATTGATCCATACCAACAACAACTTCTCAACATCTTTGATTGTTTGCCATCACTACCACCCTCTACCACCATCACTACCACTCTCTACTACCATCACTACCACTCTCTACCACCATCACTACCACTCTCTACCACCATCACTACCACTCTCTACCACCATCACTACCACTCTCTACCACCATCACTACCACTCTCTACCACCATCACTACCACTCTCTACCACCATCACTACAACTCTCTACCACCATCACTACAACTCTCTACCACCATCACTACCACTCTCTACCACCATCACTACCACTCTCTACCACCCTCTACCACCATCACTACCCCTTCTACCACCATCACTACCATCCTCTACCACCATCACTACCACCTTCTACCACCATCACAACCACTACCACCCTTTACACGATCACTACCACCCTCTACCACATCACTACTACCCTCTACCTTTGTACAGAGTGGTAGTGATATTTCTTCACAAAATTTTGCAACTCATTCTACGAGTTCTTTCTTGAATTCTATCATGTTTCTCACTTTCTTTACAAAAGGGCTGGCACTCTGAACCTTTTTTTGGCCCCATGGTGGTATATTTCACAGTAGCAATCAATAAACAAGCACAAAAAACAATGGATGAAATCATGGAGTATTGTTAACTCAGAGAGAGAGAGGCAGACCGAGTCTGGTACGCGTGAGAAGTGGCATCCTGGGCAAGTGGACACATCTGATACGGACGATTTCTGAGCAGATGTACGAAACTCGGGGGAAAATTTTGCCGAAAAAAAGTGCTCGAATTGTATGATTTCTGCACCGGTCCACTGTATAAAGGGAACATGCATGCTCACTGCCAGTCCTTTGTTACCTTTCCTTCTTCATGAATATATTGAACAAACATCTTCCCTACCTGCCTTTAACATTGTCTTAATCCCCCAACTGCTTTACCCTCTTTCAGTCTACCCACAGCTTCATGCACTTTCCTCACATCCACTTAGGCGGCTTCTCATTTCTATATGATGTTATCCATCCTTGCCCCATGCATGAAATCACTTCTTCTTCATTACTAGTATTCAACAGCTCAGAAATCTTTCATCTGTCCAGTACTTCCACTTCTGCATCTAACATCTCCCCTCTTTCATTCCTAACTTCTTAGTCCATTTGCTCTCCAGTCTTTGACACTTTATTGATCTCCAAAATTGCTTCATACTCAGTAAAATTTGCTTCCACTGGCTCTTCGTTTGCACACTCACACATACATGTGTATTTTTTTCTTTGGATCACCCTGCTTTGGCAAGAGACAGCCATTGCGTTAAAATTGTATAATTATATTAATATATATTAAACATATATTAATATATATTATATATATTTATAATATAAATATATATATTAATAAAAATATATATTAGTATAAATATAATTATATATACAAATACACAAGCTTGTCATGTACAGGTCATTGTCGTAACTCATCATGTATATATAAATTTTATAGGTTTTACTTATTTCATCGCATTTCACCTGTATAATATTCAAATATGAATATATGGGATAAATATAGCAAGAGTTTATCAGCTTTGTATATATCATGCCAGTCTTGCAAAGCAAGAATTACATGTTGCATGGATATAAAAGCAAAGGTTCATGGATGCTTGTGGCATACATTACTAAAATGTGGCATAAAGAGTATTTCCTAAATAGCAAAATTGCAGCTGCTTTGCATGTGTAAACATGAAAACATTGGTATTTAATACATTGTTCAATACTTTGTAGCATAATTGGTATGAATTGAATGCTTTCGTATAGAATAAGAAAGTCGGATACTTCCTATCTTTTATTAGCTACAAGTACGTACTATGCCAGTGGAAGATGCATTAATCTATAAGAAACCATTGTAATATATTAGGTTACAATGGTTCAGTTTTGAAGCCTTTATAAATATTATTTCTGCTGAATAAATAATGTTCTTGTTATTTTTCACATTTTATATCCTCCCTGAAATATATTTCAAATAGCCATAGAATGTGTAAAGAAAATAAAGTTTTGTATCAGTAATAAATATGATTTCTATTCAATATTACCAATATCACAAAATTGTGTAAAATAAAAGTATCTTTATTACTTGTATCATTTCTTACCCCTCAGTCCATATACTGCCATTACAGGGTAATAGCCATACATAACCTGGGTAATAATAGGCATTCAGGTTCAATCCAAGGATAGGTCCAACTCCTCAAATGAAGAGCCCCTCATCACCTAAATGGAACTTCCCACAAGAGGCCTTACTGGGTCATCAGTAAGCACTTCCCTGTGGATATGACCCATACTTTGCAAGGTAAGGTATATAGAAGCATTATGATTAGAAAGATGGAAATGACAAAGAACAGTGGATTTAGAAAGAGAAGAGGATGTGTGGTTTAAGTATTTTAATTAAGCATATGTGTAAACAAGAGAAAGGAGCCAATGACTTTTATATAGAAGCACTAAACCAATACAGCACCTGGGGAATTTGAGGCCTCCATTGTGAGATGTGTAGGAGAGAATAATGTTTCCCATGCAGGAGTTATTAGTACACTTTGCACACAAAGTTGGGAAAGTAATGTATCTGGCTCTGTAGGAGAGAGAACTTCGAGCTTATGTGACAGACCACTTGGATATTAGCAAGGAGCAGTCTTGGAGAATCCATCCAATATATACAATGGGAGGAAATGAAGACAGATTACAGTAAATGAAAGGTTAGAGCCCAAAAACAAGATACAGGAGACATATGGTGAGGTATAATAACAGCTGTGCTGTAAGACCTTGTGAGTTTAGCATTTAGTTTTGACTGTAATAATAATTCTTCAATCTATAAAGACAGAATGGTGAAACAAATATATGTAGGTAAGATAGCCAGGAAAACCCAGCAAATTCAAAAGCAAAGCAGGCAAGCCAGGAAAACCCCCAGGCTGGATAGCAGGGAAAGCCCAGGAAGCAATGTAGTAAGCAAAGATTGAGTGTGCTACAGGAAAAGATGTCTTACAGCAGCGCTGTATAGTCCTTGTGGCTTAGCGCTTCTTTTTGATTATAATAATAATACAGGAAAAGACAGGAGAGAAAATGTGTAGACACTATGCCAGAGGGGCCTGCAACTATGGAAAAAGATGATAAATACATATTAGGTGTTCCTGAATTAAGCATGAATGCCTGCCCCTCCCCAGTGCTGTATAATCCCGATGAGTTTAGCGCTCCACCACGACTATAATGATAATAATCATCCAACTTGTTAGATTAAAAGTGCCACTTTGGTGAAGAGTGCCTGAGTTTTAACCCAGAGAGATGCAATCCATCATTAGATACCAGACAATGTTATGACCTTAGCTGCCCAAAATTCCATGTAAAAAGAACAACAATGAAGAACCATGTATCAAGAGGCAGAAGATGTAGGTAACATTAAAAATAAACATTGTATGGTGGAGAGAGATACTATCTAAGGAAAAGACGAGCAAGCCTGATATAAGTGCACAGGAAATAGAGGCGAATGGTAATAAAACACTGAACTGGTTCCACACTTACCCTGGACAGATGTACACTATGCCACATTAGGGACAAAGAAACATGTACACCAGAGGCCATATCACATGATGGCATTACCCATGATAGTGACGAAACACACACCCAGCCACAACATTCCAAATGGTAAATTCTTCCTATCTGCAAACATTCAGGGTTTGAAAACAAATAAAAAGACGAAGTTAGATGCATAAGTGGGCTCTTCACAGAAGCAAATATTGTAGAGCATTTACAAAAACACATACTGTACATGGGATGAAGAATTAGACACTTGTAACAAGTGGGTATCTATATTATGTTCCACATCATAAAGATATCCAATTGCTGCATGTATCTAATTCTTCAACTTGTTGGTATTATATGCCACTGGTGTTATGATTCATATCAGGGATGTTTTGGACAGAGAGATAATAAAAACTACAAAAGTGGACCCCCGCCTTACGATATAATTTCATTCCAGAAGTATGTTCAGGTGCCGTTACCGAACGAATTTGTTCCCATAAGGAATATTGTGAATTAGATTAGTCCGTTTCAGACCCCCAAAAATACACGTACAAAAGCACTTACATAAACACACTTACATAATTGGTCACATTGGAAGCTGATCATAAGGCAGCGGTCCACTGTATGTGAATGACACATCTTGTGACACAGAACTACTGAATTTATCAAATGCAGAAGTACTAAGCATTAAAGTTGAAAAAACAAATCTAGTAATCATCCATGTATAAACCACACTCAGCAATTGTCAAGGAATTCACAAATCAAACAAGGAAGATTCCTGGAGTATACCTAGAGGGCATTCCGAGGGTTAGGTGCCCCACGGCCCAGTCCTTGACCAGGCCTCACAGTGGATAGAGGCCTGATTAACGAGGCTGTTACTGCTGGCTGCACACAGGCTGACCTATGAACTACAGACTGGCTGGTCAGGTACTGACTTTAGGTGTCTGTCCAGCTCTCTTTTGAAAATGGCTAGGGGACTATTGGTAATCCCCCTCATGTATGCTTGGGCTCCTAACACTTATTGTATTGTCTCTTAGTGTACTCATGGCACCCTTGCTTTTCATTGAGGAGTATTGCACCTCCGCACCTCCTGCCGAGTCTTTTGCTCTCGTAAGGAGTGATTTTGGTGTGTGGATTTGGGACCAGTCCCTCTAGGATTTTCCAAGTGTATATCGTGTATCTTTCTCGCCTGCATTGCAAGGAGTACAGGTTGAGGGTCTTCAACTGTAATTTAGGTGCTTTATGGTACTTATATGGGCAGTAAAGGTTCACTGTATATTCTCCAGGTCTGCAATTTTGCCTTCCTTGAAAGTGGCTGTTAGTGTACAGAAATATTCTGGTCTAGAGGGAAAACAAGCGATTTGAAGATAATCATCATTGGCTTGGTATCTCTAGTTTGAATGTTGTCATTATCCATTCTATCATTTTCCTAGCAAATGTGGTAGATACATCGTTGTGATCTTTGAAAATGAAATTTTCTGACATTATCACTCCCAGGTCCTTCACATTAGTTTTTAGTTCTATTGTGTGATTGGAATTTGTTGTATACTCCAGTACAGTTTTCATTTCCTTGAGTTTTCCATAGCATAGTAATTGAAATTTGTCTTCATTGAACTTCATATTGTTTTCTGACATGCGTTTAAAGACTTGGTTTATGTCTGCTTGGAGATTTCCAGTGTCCTCGATGGATGACACTCGTGCAAATTCTGGTATTGTCAGCAAAAGAGGACACGGTGCTGTGGCTTACATCTCTATTTATGTCTATATCAAGGAAGGTTCCTTGATGTTGGTGAGGGGCTCTTGATTTAGGGAATTGGATCTGTGCTCCAGCTCCCCGAATTAAGCCTGAATGCCTTCCACATCCCCCCCCAGGCGCTGTATAATCCTCCGGGTTTAGCGCTTCCCCTTGATTATAATATTAATAACAATACGTATATAAACCAAGTCTTCAAATGGGCCTTGGAAAACAATATGAAGTTCAATGAGGACAAACTCTAATTATTCTGCTGTGGAAAACCTGGGGAAATAAAATCTAGAACAAATTCTAATCACACATTAGAGCATAAAACTAATACGAAGCACTTGTGGCCCGGTGGCTAAAGCTCCCGCTTCACACACGGAGGGCCCGGGTTCGATTCCCGGCCAGTGGAAACATTTCGACACGTTTCCTTACACCTGTTGTCCTGTTCACCTAGCAGCAAATAGGTACCTGGGTGTTAGTCGACTGGTGTGGGTCGCATCCTGGGGGACAAGCTTAAGGACCCCAATGGAAATAAGTTAGACAGTCCTCGATGACGCACTGACTTTCTTGGGTTATCCTGGGTGGCTAACCCTCCGGGGTTAAAAATCCGAACGAAATCTTATCTTATCTTATAATGTCAAAGAATCTCAATTTCAAGATCACAACAATATCTCTATCATATCTGCTATAAAATGATAGGATGGATAATATGAACCTTCAAAACAAGGGATGCCAAGTGAATGATGATTTGTTTTAAATTACTTGTTCTCTCTACGCTGGAGTACTGCTGTACACTAATGTCCCCTTTCAAGGCAAGTGAAATTGCAGATCTGGAGAATATACAGTCAACTTTCACTACATGTATAAGTACAATAAAGCACCTCAATTACTGGGAACATCTTAAGTCCCTTGACCTGTATTCCTTGGAATGCAGGTGAGAAAGATGTATGATAATACACTTGGAAAATCCTTGTCAGAAATCTACACACAAAAAATAACTCCCTATGAAAGTAAAAGACTTGGCAGGGGTGCTGTGAGTACACTAAGAGGCAACATAACAAGTATCAGGGGCCCAAGACTGTTCAACTGCCTCCCAGCATACATAAGGGGGATTACCAATAGATCTGTGGCTGCCTTCAAGAACGAGCTGGACAGGCACCCTAAGTCAGTGCTTGACCAGCTGGGCTGTACTTCTCACATTGGAGTGCAAAGCAGCCAGCAGTAACAGCCTGGCTGATCAATCCCTGATTCACCACGATTATTATTATAATCAAGGGGGAAGCGCTAAACCCGGAGGATTATACAGCATGATTCACCACGAGGCCTGATCATGGACCAGTTGCGGGGGAACTGACCCCCGAAACACCTGGAGTTTACCTGGAGTTTACCTGGAGAGAGTTCTGGGGGTCAACGCCCCCGCGGCCCGGTCTGAGACCAGGCCTCCTGGTGGATCACAGCCTGATCAACCAGGCTGTTGCTGCTGGCTGCACGCAAACCAACATACGAGCTACAGCCCGGCTGATCCGGAACTGACTTTAGGTGCTTGTCCAGTGCCAGCTTGAAGACTGCCAGGGGTCTGTTGGTAATCCCCCTTATGTGTGCTGGGAGGCAGTTGAACAGTCTCGGGCCCCTGACACTTATTGTATGGTCTCTTAACGTGCTAGTGACACCCCTGCTTTTCATTGGGGGGATGGTGCATCGTCTGCCAAGTCTTTTGCTTTCGTAATGAGTGATTTTCGTGTGCAAGTTCGGTACTAGTCCCTCTAGGATTTTCCAGGTGTATATAATCATGTATCTCTCCCTCCTGCGTTCCAGGGAATACAGG